TCGATTTTTTTTATAATTATTTATATTTTTATAAAAACTTTAAGCATACCGCGGCCTATTTATTTAAATATTTTCAAACGCCTAATAAACTAATTACTAAGCCGCCACGCTAAATAATATATTATTAATTAAAAGGCTATAAAACGCCAAACGCTAATAAAAACATCAGCCCTTCCTATTACTTATATTAACGTAATAGCAATAAATTACCAAATAATTACAAAAAACCTTTTATCGCTAGCTATATTTTTTATATTTTTCCTTTTTTTTTTTACCTATTTTTATTTTTTGCTTTGGGCTAAACGGAATTTATTTTATATATAATTAAAAAACTTTTTTTATTTATCCTCTTTTAATTTTTATAAATAAATATACGACTCACACGGCTTACACGACTTAAACGACTTAAACAACTTAAACGATATAGCTAATAATTTTATTCCCGCTAAAGCTTTAGCTAACGGCGCTTGGAACGGAAAAGCCGTTAATATTAAACGTAAATAAGCTTAGCTTTTCGTATACTATAAATATTAATTATAAAATATATATTTTTTTTTAAATCTATCCTAATATTTTTAAAATAAATATAATTTATAATATCGTTAAATTATTAAACGGCTTATCTATTTAGCGCTCCGGCTCCGGCGTTAATACGGGATATTTAACCGATAATAAAAAAAACGGCAATATTACCGCTCGCGTTACTAATAGCTTAACTAATTTTAGCTCTTAATAAATCGGAAAAATTAAAATTATACAAATTAGTAACCTATACTCCTTTAAAGCTACCGAATATATTTATTATATAATTAATTATTATTAGTATAAGCGCGTTCTTAAAGGCAAAAAAAAAAGGTAAAAATTAAAAAAAGGTTAAAAAAAAGGTTAAAAAAAAGGAAGACAATAAAAAAACTAATTAAAACACCGACCAAAACACCGACCAAAACACCGATAACAAGCTTTAAAATAGTAAACACATTAAAAAATACTATAGCATCGCTTTATTCCCCTTTTTATATTATTACGGGATAAAAACCTTCGATTCGTATATTCATTCTATCCTATTCATATTACCCCTAACTATTACACAACACTAAAAGCTTCGTTTCTCAATATAAAATATATTTATTTATCCCGGCTCTTTTTATAAATATTAAAACTTTTAAAAACATTTACAAATATAAATACTACTACGTGCGGCTTTAATATTTATTAAAATTCAATTATAATCGCGCTTAATATCCTTATAAATATGCAAATTAATATAAAGCATCCCATTATTATCGCCTCGAATAAAAAATTAGCGATTATTATATCGCTTATATTATAATTATTATAATAAATAACAGATATAAATAGCGCCAGGATTTTATTATATGCATCGTCATCCCACATATTACAATAATTAATGGCTTTCTTCTTACCGCCCTTTATCTTTGAGCCGCAGCAACCCCGGCGCCCTTACATAAAATCGGCTTTTATATCTCGTCCACTTTATCACGAAATTCTTCTTAGTCTTATCCTACTATAATAGCAATCCTTATTAAAGCTAATCGTACCCTTTAATACATAAATTATAAATATAATTAAATTAAAACGGCAAATCTTATATTACTTTATAATCTTATTAAAAATCTTAAAATAAAATGCAAAATATCAAAATAAAGGTCTTAAAGGCTTTATAATATTAACCTATAATATTAAATATATCCTTATATATATTACGGAAAAATTTATTTAATATATTAGCTATTTATAAAATAATATCATTTTTTAAAACGATACCCAGCTGCTATATCCTCTTATCCTAAAATATTAAGAACTCTTTTAAGCATTAACTTATTAATCGGCATAAAATAAATATAATACTATAAAAATACCGCTATAATTAGCGTCGCTTTAACGGGATTATATATAATACCACTTTTAATAAAAAATAAAATTTTAAACGATACCGCATCTAATATGATTAAAGTAAAGATCGGCAATAAAGCGCCAGCGCTAATATCCTAAATACCGCTTCGTTATCTAAAAATATAGCTCTGGTATTATTATAAATAGGCTTAGGCATTATAATTTTTCTTATAATTGCCTTATTATTAGCTATTATTACTAATATTATAATTTTAGGTATAGCGCCTATTTTATTCGCCGGCTTAATATACGATAAATTCGAATATCGCGCGTTGTTTTTAGCCTAATCCCCTTTATTATTATTTCTTCTAAGTTTACTACCAAATATAAATTAAAATAATCCTAAAGCGAAATAGTATTAATTTAAACGTAAATGCTTCGAAAAACCGATACCTAATTATAAAATTAAATTATTAAAATCGGCTTATTAGCAAAAAGCGATTAAATAGTTTTTGGACGCTAAAAAACGCTATTTCGAATTATAAATCCGTATTTTAATAGCTTTATAGGATTTTTCGTTTTTTATTAATAGCTATAATATATGCTTTACCTGCTTAATAAATTAAATAAGCCTAAAAGCTAATAAGGTCGCTAAATATTTAAATTAAAGCAATATTTTAATAAATTAATTATATATCTTCGAATTTGATTTTATAATTTTATTTTTTATCCCGGGAAATGCCTTTTTTATTATTTTGCTAAAAAAACCCGAGCTAATAGCATTTATAATAAAAATTAACCTTTATTAAACCAGTTAATTTTATATTTTCCCGCCTATATATAATATTATTTATTTTTGCTAAATATTTAAATATTTAGATTATATAACCGCGGCTGCGAAAGCAGCCGCGTAATATAAATAATAGCCGTATAGCGGCGTAAAGCTCGATAATTTTTTGGAATGCGGCCCGTTTTAGCGTATAAATAACTCCTACCTTTGCTATAACCGACTTTGCATTTTGCCCTCCTATATTGTTTACGAGCTAATTACCGTTAATAAATCGTAAACCGAGTATTTTAACCGCGCGCGGTTTTTCCGAGTTTATAATCGCCTTATTTTAGCCGCTTACGATAAATATAACCCCTTTTATTTAATATAATATATAATGCTAACGATATATAAAAAATATTTAATTTAAATATAGCTTTATCGTATATTTAAAGGCTTCGAAAATTTATTACCGCCTCGGCGGCTACGGTTATACCTATTCCTTTCCCTAAAATATAAGCTTTTTATACGTTCCGTCGGTATAAAGTAAGCGATTAATATATAAGTATATAATTGTATTCCGCTTGTGCAAAGGAGAATAGATTATAAGCCGGGCCTTATATATAGCTTATATTTATCGGATTATATAAAGGGATTCGTAAAAGTCGTCGATTTATAAGCTTATATTATTTATTATTATAAAAATCGTAACGATTAAAATAAGCTGGCTAAAATGCGCCGGATTATAACGCTATAGAAGCAGTATATTAGTATAAAAGTGGTGCTAGGTTATAATGCTATATAATAAAAACTGGATTAGCTAAATTCGCTAAATTTTAAGTGGGCTTACGTGGAAAAATAGGGTCTGCGATTATAATACGTATTTAGCGTATGCTTAGGCATATAGAAAAATAATATAATTTATTAAATTATAATTTTATATTTATAATAATATATATTTTCTGCCTATTATTATTATTTTGCCAAAAGCCGACTTTAATATTTATTACCTATTATTAAAAATAATATATTAATAAAAACCTCACGAAATAGCTAGAAAAATAAAGTAAAATAGCGCGAAACCTGCCTTAAATAGCATAAGACCTATGTAAAATAGTGTTTTTAGAGTCGATTTTTACCTAAAATGGCAGTCATCCCCATTTTTCTATCAGATAGAATAGAACTTAACGCGAGCTTGACGCGAGAAGACACGATAAGTTTGGGCGGGTCCGAGGAGAGAGGGGCGATTGAGTTACGGACCCGCGTAAATTGGATGGCATGGCTTTTTGATATGAGCCCAGTTTTCCCTCCTCTTCCTCCTCCTGCTCCTCAGCTGAAAAAAGAAAAAGGCATTGAGGAAAGGGATACCGCAGCTAAACCTACTTTATACCTACCAGCCTCCACGTAAACGTGGACCGTTGCTTCTTTTCAGTGCCAAAGTGCATAATCTGTACAGTGCTCGGGCGCTCCCGACACTTTCGTGGGGGGCTCAATTCCCTGTTGGGTTTACTGCTCGAGACAGAATTGCACAATGAGGCGAAGCAATGTTGCTTGGCTTTTGAATCTTGGCAGGCATGGCAAGATTTGGGTTGAGATTGGAGACATGGGCTGTGTCAGCGCGGTCTGATAAAAGGCATATATATACTCTCGCTATTCTAAGCTTTAGGATCATGTGTGTATTGCTTCCATTGAAGGCACTGGACGGTTGGTTGGTGGATGATTTTGGTGGTTGCAGAACAGGTACGGGTATGTACGTAGACTAGAAAGACGCAGGGACCAACAAGTGATCGCGCTTAATAAGATACGTACCTTCTCTCTACAACAGCTTCTCCTCTCTAGCTCTCTTGATGTTTCGGGGTGCTCGGAGTTCTCTCCCCACCCACCAGGCCAGTCGTTCGCCTCATTCTGCCCCGCGCCGCCCATTGCCCACTGCCGGATCTGCAAAGGGTTCTTCGGGCTTCGCACACAGCTCGGCATCCCATCCATTGATTCACCTGCACGATTCAAACCCCTTCCGACACAGAGTATAGGCAAGCCAAGAAGGCGCAACTGTATACTGTCATCCAATTGATATCGGAAAACTCATCCGTGGGACTAACCGTCGCTCAAACTTTCTTGCCAAGCGGGGCGCCGCATGCCCATCGTTCGTTGTTGAGGTAGGTCGTGGCCACCTCAGACGCAGAGGAAGACGCAGACGCCGTCGTGTCCATGTCGACGTCCCAAAACGTAAATCAGATCCCGGTGGAGGATCTGACCCCCGAGGAAGCAAGTCGCATCATCCATTCACACCGCAAGGTACGCTATGGTAGGTCATGTTCCTTTTTATTATTATTCTTCCTCCTCGAGATTTTGCTCGGAATTCCTGCTAGTGACCGCCATGACCGGCCGCCATGATGGCAAACCTCTCATACATGAGCCTACCACGCCGGCTGGGGTAAAGGCCCTGCTGACTCTATCAACTACAGGAACTGCTTGCTGGCCCTGTCGACAACGCAAGGTCAAGTGCGATAACCAGCAGCCATGCGAGAATTGTGTAAAGAGGGAGCATCCGCAGTTGTGCTCATACAAGCCAAATCGCTCAAACACGAGCAAATCTGGCTCGATTGATGCTGGGGCTTCGCATGGGACAAAACGTCCACACTCTCCGGGAGAAAGTGACGACTATGAAAATGATAATGATCGTCAGCCCCAGGGTTGGCCTCGGGCAGCAGGTGAGTCAAGTCTTGCAGGACAGCCAAGCCTGTATTGACACATCCACATAGATCAGTCGGAAACGACGGAAATTCCTCGTTACATAGGCCAGAATAGCATCCCGGCGATTCTGCGAGACCAGCCGTCGCCAATAGACACCAAGAATGGCATAGACATTCGCCGTGATATGCGTCCAATCTGGGGTCTGGACAATTCTGCCCCTTTCCCACTCATGTCTACGCATCATCTCGACAAGATGACCCAGGAGATATCGGCACAGCTTCCTTCGGACCGTGAGGTTCTCAAGTACGTATCTAGTTTTCACATCCGAAATCTCAGATACTAACGACTGGCACAAGGCTTTTCAAGACTTACAAGGAAGTTCCACATCCCTTTTGGGGTTTTGTCATAGATATTGACGACCTCGAATCTCGTTTGATGGTCTATCTTGAAGAACGAGCGAGGATACTTCGGGAAAAGGGTCCCCAAACCCAACCCATCTCTGCTTCTTGGCTCGCTATCCTTTTTGCTGTGCTCGCTGTTGGGTCGCAATACCATGACTCTCCGTACCACATTCGGACGCGAAACTCTCAAAAGTACATTCAAATCTGCTTCCATTTTCTCAGACTTGGAAATTTCCTGCTCAGGTGAGTTGAGTCATGCGTACCACTGGTGTAATTATTCCGTGTTAAAACCTGTTTTCAGACCAAACCTAGATTCAATCCAGGCCCTTTTGATGACGAGCTTCGTGCTCTTGAACGACATGAAAGCAGAAGGATCATGGGCTCTACTTGCTCTCACCTGTCGATTGGCACAGTCCTTGGGGCTTCACCGAGCACCACAGCAAGAAACAAGCTCTACAGAATTGACCATAAAGGACTATGTGCGACGAAAACTCTGGTATGATACTTTGCTATCCGCATGATGTATGCACGGCTCTAATTTCAATAGGTGGACTTGCCAATGGCACGATACGCTCACATCACTATCTTTTGACCGGTGAGTCCTTCGCATGGAACCCCTATGTCGTTCGTGACTGATTGTCGCCAAGACCAAACATGACAAACATACAGTGCTGCGCAATTCCACTGGCTCCAAATGCAGGCGTCGAGGGTCTGTCATACCTCGAAGCCATGTATCATCTCTGTCAAATTATTTCGGAGAAGCTGAATCCGGATGCCGTAAATACTGCCTCATATGACACCATTGTGGCCAATTGTGAAGAGGTCATGTCTCTGCGGCAGAGGGTCTATCCCCAACTTCGAAATAAAGAGGCCTTGAAGACAGTAGTTGATCGACTCCAGCACTATGCACTCAGACTTCACACAGCATTCGTAGTGTCCGTATGCTGCCGGCCGGCGCTTCGAAGCGATTACAAGCTGCTCAAGGCTGGAGAAAAAAAATCCCTGTCGGCAAGATGCAAGGCAAATCTTATTGAAACAGTCAACATGTTCCTTGCAATGCACAACATATCAGTCATTCCAACCAGAAGTTGGGCATTTACCTACCATGGACTCTCGTCAGCGGTCCTTCTGGGTCTTTTATCTGACCCCAAAACTGAGCCAGAAGTTCGTCGCCTACAAGGTGATCTCATTTCCGCCCTTTCTGCTGCCGCGGCCAAGGAACGATCCAGCCCACCTCCGGGCCACATCCCCGTTAGTGACAAGGACATTGAGCTGTCTGGCCCACTATCAAGAGCATTGACTGCTTTGAAGCATATTTACGACTACGGATCCCTCAATGGCCTGTCAGGTCTCAAGAGCGAGGTACCTTCGGGATCGCGGACTCCTGTTGCAAACATGCCCTCGAATGCGATACTGAACGTACAGCAACGTGCTCAGTCAAGTCTAGACCCACACCAAGACGCAGCGCTGGCTATGACGGAACTGCAGAATGGGGCTACTTTGCCTGACTTTTCAACGTAAGGACTCTGTGGCTGAGGAAATATCACTCATGCTGACATTTTTAAAGTAGTCTACAGTACCCGACGACATTGGCGCAGGCACTCCCAGTCCAGGGAGTCACAGATATGTCACAAATGGATCCCTCCACGTACATGTCCAATATGTCACCCATGGACCTCTATGATTCCATTTTCTGGGGTACGTCACATATAGACTTGAGAACCCGGCCTTACATGACTGACTTTGTGCCAGAATCGCCAGATCCATTCTATAATACAGGTGCCGACATGAATTTTGACTTCATGCCATCCCAACAACCTGGCGGTGGTGGGCAGTACTTCTACTAATTATCTCGACTCCTACCGATATTATGTGCACGAGAGTCATTATCTGATTGGAAAATACTGATATTCTGGTTTTGTCACGGGTGCTTGATCATGGGATGAACGGTGTTGGGGCATAAAAGGTATTTCAAAAGTTGGGGACAAAATAACGGCGCTCAAATTGCCATTTCATAAATTTCAATAATGGGTCTTTTGTGTCTTGTTCATCTATACCAGGGCATCCAAGACTACTTGCGTCATGGCCACTACCTTTTCTTCTTCTAGCCTATTTGGAACAGTCAGATACATTCGTAACCAAATAATGAAAATCAAAAGAGGGGGTCTTACCTTCTGGCCACCAATTGCAGATTTATCGGCATACCATGCACCTTTTCCGCATTGTCTGTAAATTCAATCAGTCCATGCCCACTGAGATTGACGGCGTCTCTTTCCCTTGGAGCACTTACATTCTGACTGTATCGTCGCATCCAAATCTGTCATGGGCTTGTAGTCGCTAGGAGCTTTATCAACCTGAGCATCTACCGTGATGCCCGTGGGGAACGACATGCACGAGTAGTCGAGGACATTGTAAACTCCAGTATATCCAACTGCAAGTGTCATTAGTTAGTTCATGTTACCCAACATCTCAATGAGAAAAGACGAGAGGGGAGGTAACTCACCATGTTTAAACTTGCCATTCTCGACACTACTGTACGGGGTCGTGGGACACAAGATGGCGTCAATGCCAGCCTGGTTCCAGCGCTCCAAATACCGCCTCTGGAACTCGACACGCTCGAGGTGCAGCGCCCACATGTCCGAGGTGGACAGCTCCGTCGCGGTACGGTACGCCTCCATCTCGGGCCGCCAGGGCTCGCCGGAGCGCTCAATCTCGCGCCGAATGGCCGAGCCGCCGTCGGCAACAAACATGCGCTGCAGCAGGGCGGCTCCTTGCAGCTGGTCCTCGGAGGACCAGTCCACCACCTCGTGACCCGCGGCGCGGAGCTTGTCGACGGCCGTCTGCAGCGCCCGCGTCACTGGCGGCGTGGGGCGCGCCATGCCGTCGTCCCACATGACGGCGATGCGGAGACGGGCGGGCAGCCGAGTCTCCCGCCAGGGGATCGGCAGACACCGGGGGTCTGCGAGCCAGGGCTCGGCGCCGACAACGATTGCGCAGTAGAGGGCGAGGTCGGGAAGGGTGCGGGCCAGGGGGCCATTAACGCTCTGGACGGCCTCCTGGCCGGGCATGCCGGAGCGGCAGCGCAGGGTCGGGAAGCGGCCAAAGCTGGGCCGCAGGGTAAAGATGCCGGTGCAGGCGGCGGGGATGCGCAGGGAGCCGCCAATATCGGTGCCGACGCCAATGGGACTGCCGCCAAAGGCGATGAGGGCCGACTCGCCGCCCGAGGAGCCGCCGCTGGTCAGGTTGCGGTTCAGCGGGCTGACGGTGCGGCCAAAGACGTTGTTGACCGACTCGGCAATCATCATGGCCGTGGGGACATTGGTCTTTACGTAAAAGACGGCGCCGGCGGCCTCGAGCAGCGCGGCCAGCGCAGAGTCGTAGGGCGCCGCGTCGCCAATGTGGCTCACAAAGCCTACGGTTGCGTCCAGCCCCTTTAGGTTGAAGTTGTCCTTGAGCGAGACGGGCAGGCCGTGGAGGGGCCCGATGGGCTTGCCCGTGCGTGCGAGGTGCTCATCGAGCTTCTTGGCCGTCTCGAGGCCGCGAGAGAAACACGTCTCCGATAGACAGTTTGTCTGTGTAATTGTGTTGTGAGCAAGAGTTGTGTGCAGTGATGAAAGGTCATGTTATAAAGGCGAAGCATGACTTACCAGTTGATGGGCCGCTGCCGCACGCTTGCAAAAGGCCCGAGTCACCGTCTCGGATTTGAGCTCGCCGGAAGCAAGTTTGGGTAGTAAATCCAGAACATTTGAGTTTGTAATGGCTAGTTCTTCAGATGTGAACCATCCCGAAGTTTCGGGAAATTTGGTCACGTCTTGCACGCTCTCATCGGGCAGCAGCTCGGCCGGGATGATCCATTCGGACGGGATGGAATCCCTTAATGCCTGGCGTTTCTTGGCCGCCTTTTGTTCCCAGTCTGCCATGTTTGGTAATTTTATAAGTATAAATATGAAATACAAGTCTAACAACACGAATCTTCAGGTCGTGGAATATAGTAAATGTTGAAAGTGACAGGCTTCTTTTATGAAATACCTCTGCGCATCGTGTGCCAAATGTCCTACGATTATGGAGTTTATGGCATCATCGGATCGAAGCCGATGCCCACTAGAATGCATAGGCGCCGTTCACCGGACCGTGGTACGAACGCATTCAACGAGCCCGCATTCAAGCTAGCATTGATCGGATCTACATGCTACTCGGCGCCTCGTGGTCCCCGCCCCCGTCATGACTTGGGGAATTGACAAATATATAAAACAAGCCCCGGGGTAATGTGGGTTTGGTTCTAAGAGTGGTGAAATGGGTTCAATGAGAGATCTGGTTTCCATAGTGTCAGACTTCGGCCGGTGTCTCTTCTATCTCGACCGATTCTCCACACATCTTTTAGTCCTTGGGTGGAAATCTAGTTCCGTCCCACCCCAAAAAAAACCGCCCCAGGGTTTCCCAAAGAGCAAAAGAGCGGAGACGCGACCCTGCAGAGCCTTTACCTTATCTATCCAACCATCGACAATTTGCCCTGCGCAAGGCCCGCGACGGCTTATCAAGATACTCGAGGATCGTCGCAAGGAGCCCGACTGTTGTGCTTGTTCTCTAAAAAAGCAGCCGATGGTCTGAGTTATCATGACCATTTCCTCCTTGGCGTTCGGCGGTTCATCGGCCCTCAGGTTGGTGACTGTTTGAAATTTACCTAGATTAGCGATTGCCGTGCCGTGGTTTTCTTGACTGATCGGGACACGGCCTTCCGACCGACTGCTTGCCCGCCTTTGCCTGTATACGTATACAAACAGGGTTCTTATCAAGATAAAGGGGATATCCTCGACGGGCACGGTTCTGAGAAGAATATCATATGAACGGCGAGCTTTGGCTCGCGGTGTAAAAAGCACAGCTCAACCTCCTGCGCCCCGGGGTCTTCAAACATAGAAACTTGCAACTCCAACAACGCTCATCAACATTCGGCCGCCATGGGGTTCAAGGCCCGCTTTCATGAGTATTTTCACTCTGAACTCCAGCCGGGTGAGCGGAAGCTGGTCCAGAAGATTGACTTCTTTATTCTGACCTTTTGCTGTTTGAGTTATTTTACCAATTATGTAAGCGTTTTCTGAATATCTAGCATTCGAGTCGCAATTCTTACTCCAAGTCACAGCTCGATCGGTCCAACCTTGCCAATGCCTATGTGTCGGGTATGAAAGAAGACCTTGGCTTTGTTGGCGACCAGTATAACCAAATCAACACATGCTTTACAATTGGTTACATCATTGGGCAGATACCCGCAAACCTGTCCCTTCACTATGTCAAGCCACGCTACTTCTTCCCGTCCATGATGATCATCTGGGCAGGGTTGACAATGGTGACAGCTTCAGTGCAAAAGCCCCAATCCATCATGGCCATTCGGTTCTTCCAGGGTATCGCCGAGGCCACCACGTTTGTCGGCACCCACTACATTCTCGGATCGTGGTACACGGAGCGCGAGCTCGGTAAACGCAGTGGCATCTTTACCGCCTCTGGTCTAGCTGGCACCATGATTGGCGGCTTCATTCAGACGGGCATCTACTCTTCGCTGCACGCCAAGAGCGGACTGACTGGTTGGCGTTGGCTCTTTATCATCGACGGCCTCATCACCATCCCAGTGGCCATCTATGGCTTTCTCTTCTTCCCAGACACACCGCAGACGACGACGGCGTTTTACCTCAGCGAGACGGAAAAGGCACTGGCCATCTCGAGGGTTCCGATTGTGGAAGAAAAGTCACCAATCACGCTGGCTTTTGCAAAGAAAGTACTGACCTCTTGGTACTGGTGGGGATTCGTTGGCCTGTGGATCGTCGCCGGTGAGACGGAGAGCTTTTCGACCAACTCGCTCCTGTCGCTCTACATGAAGAGTCACCCGACCATTGACTATACGGTATCGCAACTCAACAACTATCCGACAGGCGTGCCGGCTGTTGGCATCGTGTCGACCTTGTTCTGGGCCACCCTGACGGACTTTTTGAACGGGAAACGGTACCTGGTCGGATACTGGATTAGTATTACGGGAATTGTTACATCGGCCTTGATCCTGTCAGCCTCGAAGAATCCCACGAGCCCGGCATCGACTTCGACCGTGTTTGGCGCGTACTACTGGGCCGGATCGGTCTATGCCTGCCAGGCGACCTTTTTTGCCTGGTGCAACGACGCCATGAGATATCAAGACCCAGTGTACCGAGGCGTGGTCCTCGCCGGTATGAACCTGGGTTCCAATGTGTTCAACGCCTGGTGGTCTCTCGTCTTCTACGGCGCGTCCACGGCCCCGTGGTTTACTGTAAGTTGTCAACTCCTCGACCTGATAGCCCCAGTGAGCACTTGCTGACATATTTTTCCTTCTCGTTACAGCGAGGTATGTGGGCCATGATTGCTTGCTCAATCGCCTTGGCTATATGGTGTGCCGGTCTGTCTTACCTGACTCGGCGCGAGGGTAAGCGGCGCGTGGTAGAAGAGCATATCGTGGAGCAGGGACACGCCGAATCGGACCGTGACACCAAGATGCCTGCCGAGCTGGCTTAGCAACTCTTTCACATAGGGGAGAAGTGGACTGGACTGCCATGGTGATGGGATATACATGATGTTAATACGAAGACGCGATCAAGTGCCGACATGTTTTGTCGAATGATACCCAAAATAGCAATGACCAGGTGACGTCGAATGCGGAGAGCGTCGTCTGTTGTTTATTGGGCGAGTTGAGTAGTCTGTTGAAAAATACTGTGTAATAGACGAGCTCCACAAGCACGACCCCCGCCAACCCACCACATATTATATTGCATATATTCAAGTTAATAAGCAATCATTCCACGTCCGTGATACCATGGAGATATCCATTCCCCTTTCTTTGGCACCCCACCTTTGCAGCAGCAGCATGGACTGATCCGAGCGAAAAACGATCTCGAGCATGAGTAACGCAAGGGGGCTTTTGAGGAGGGCGCTGGAGGATAGTAACGTTGTACAATCTGTCTGTCGGATTTCCGTGCTTGCGTGCTTGCGTGCTCACAGTAGACAACGGTGATCGATGCAAGCTGCTGCCGGTCTGTCAGTCAGCCGTAGTATGTAGCTCCCAAGCTGCTGTGCCACGTTCTTTTCGCCGACGACATTGGGTCCCCTCACAATAGGCTACTACTATCCCGTATGAAAGGAATCCCGCTACCTCTAGGTCTTACCGTTTAATGCTTATTTTTGTCCCAAACTTGACCCATCTCCTACACAAGGTAATAAATAACCAGGGGCTTATGAAGAAACAAACACAGCTAAGCTTTCTAGTCAATGCAGGGCTGTCCGTCAGCAGCTAGGGAACCGAGCGGTGGTCCTCTTTGCAATCCCCATGATATCACCTGGGGAGGGTCCGGCTTTTGGTCATGAGTTGTCAGCCGCCACTATACATTCTATACTACATACTTCGTGTTACCTCCTGGTGCTTACTTGCATGTTGCCGTTGCGCCTTTCTCCGTGTGCTGTATTCCGTACGGAGCCACAGCTGGAAGCAGGGTCTTTCGGGACGTTGCAGCCCCCAGAATCCTTGGCTTGGTTGAATGGGCTAGGGAGGTAATATCCGGGGTCAATGCAGGTTTCTTGCCTGGAGGCCAGGCTTGGATTCCATCCTTTTAGCTCTAGCTAGAGCTCAGCGATTCCAGGTCTCTGTGCTGCGCTTGACCATTTTAGCTCCATTTCATAAGGTACCTAGTGGTAAATGCATCGCACTGATTCGGTACAGTAACTAAACGTATACAGCAAGCAGATATTCAGGCCTGTGAGAGCATGATATATATTTACATCTTTTCTGGATTCGAGACAAGGAATAACTCATTCGGCATCAATTCTCCATCCCAAAATAAGCGAACGAGAAAAACGAGTGCCGGTCGGAAGAGTCGGACGAATGAGGCAGTTCTGGGGATCCGCTCCAGTGGTCAGTTAACCGCTAACAAGTCTTCGCATCGCTGGACCCGGCAGATTTGAGGGTCGATCGGCGGGCAGGGACACCAATGACCTCAGCGCCGGGGGCCTTAACCTCGTATTCGAGCACCTTTGCCAACCGTCATGCAACGTTGAATAGAGAAGACATGGAAAAAAGAGGTGACCCATTATTCGCCGCCGCAATTGACCATGTACAGCAAAGGGCTGAGTGCAACTACCACATACACACCGTACCTAGACATGGAATCCCATTCCTTACCCTTGGTGAAAGGGGAAAATCCCGTTGTATGACTATAATGCACCACATTTCATCATTCGATCGATTGGGTACCTAGATATATAAGAGACACCATCCGCTCAACTTGGAATTTTGATCACGATACTCTAACACACCACCTCTTACCACACTCGCTACGACTTTCCGATCAGTACTCCCTCCTACATATATAATCCTAATCAGCATTACTACAAACATATTCAAAATGGTTTCCATCAAGACTCTCGCTGGCGCCGCTCTGGCCGCCGCCCTCCCGGCTTCTGCCTACGTCAACGGCATTTCCGGCCCCGAGACCGCCGCCGCCGGCAGCAGCATCGACGCCACTGTCACCACTTCCATCTACGTCCAGAACTGGGTCGACTACTCGATTATCTGGGGTCTTGCTCCCGCTACTTACAACTGTGCCGAGTACAAGTGCATCGGTCAGCAAATTGGTTACAGTGCCGCCTAGTAAGTAAACAAACAGCACAAGGCTTGTTGATGTTGGCGGCATCTCTTACTGACTTTCTTTTTCTTATAGCCCTGACCAGCTTCCCCTCGGCAACTTCTCCGTCGCCTTGGCCATTCCTGAAGTCTCGGCCGGAGACTACCAGCTCTTTGCTGCCGTACCTTACCTGGTCGGCGCCTCGGGCACTGTTGACGTGGAGACCTTTTACTACAACATTACCATCACTGCATAAGATGGGACAGGCGGTTCCTGTTGCAACGACTTGAACATGATAATGCATTAGATCGGAGTTTTTCTTCTTCTTGTTGTTGTGTTACTTGGCACATATTTTTCCCCTTCAAAAAAGCGAAAAGGGCATAGCAAGACAGAAGGCTTGGATTTGGAAGCTTGCGGCATGCAGCATGCAGAAATTTATAAATAGTATTCGTCTCCCATACCTTTGGGGAGATGAAATTCCTCAAATAACAATCAACTTCCACCCTAAGACAGAAAGAAGTGCCGAGCTTGTCACTGTTATGTGAAATGAAGGCCGCGTACGTATGAGACGGTGTTTGTGCTGAAGAAAATTGTCTTTCAAAAGGAGATGCCTGACTGGTGAGCTAGTGTGATTTGAAATGAAATTACCTACATTCTCACCCCCCAAAAAGGTACAATGACCCCAGGTTTAATGTGGTGGATAATATCAACTGCTTATTTTATCAAACACTAACTGAACTAATCTTGATAACCTACAGCTTTTTGGGGGGTGGGAGAAGTGTGGTTGTCGTTGTCGGCTGGGCTCCGATGATTTGAGTTGATCATCACTGATCATCGCCTGGGGGAGCAGACAACCTTACCACGAGGGAAAAAGTGGTTCAGCACAGACAGAGATGCCCAATTCTCGAGGCAGTTTCAAAACTTTTCCCACACGCGTCGCGTCACGTCCCCAAAGAGATGTTGAAAAGTAACAAAAATGAACAATACATAGTACAATGGCCAACTCTTTTCTTTGCCGTCTTTTCCAGGAACCCCCCAAAAGTGTCATCAAACAAGTCGTCTCCACTTTGTGCGGTCTCCCTATCCCGCTTTTGTTGGCAGATGGCGAGAAAAGGAGGAGGGATTGGATGAACCACTGGAGGCGCGCACTAAGTCAAAGGAATTGAGCTGCGGGTATAGGCGGGTCCGTGGCATCCCTAGCGTTGATCAAGCACCTTTGCTGCTTTCGAAAGGAGGCGTTCTTGTTTCAGCCCGTTTCCGTTAAGTGTACTACTGTAGGTGGTAGCAGTAGGGAACAGGCTGGGCCGTCGTCGGAATAAGCAGTGATATAAAAAGGGAGTGTTTGTTGTAACTCTCATCAACGGATCTTCTTCATATTTATTCCCACAATCCTTTTTTTTTGAAAAGCCTATACAGCAATAGATACCAGAACAACAACAAATCGCAACTCTAGATAACACAAGAGTCCAGACTCGACAGACAATCAAGGCACCATGGTGGGTCACCATCTCCAGAACAAAGGGGGCGACGATCGTCTTGAGGGGGTTCGCTGGGCGAGCGTTGCGCGCCAACAGCCAGGCTTTGCTAATTCGTGGGCCTTTTGTCGCCTTTGCGGTGGATAGAGCAGAACACTGTCGCCGGAAGAAATTCAAGTCTTCAAGGACCTGTTTGATTCTTATGTGAGTGAATCCAGTCATGAGCCACAAGTCCCAAATCTCACTGACCGCCTCGGATAGGACCCTGACAAAGATGGTGAGTCAAGGAAACGCTCCACCCACTCAGGATCGCGAAAGCCACTTTGAGCTGGATCAGCGTTTTGGGCGCGGAGGGAGAAGCAAGATGTCTACTATTCATGCATTGCGCAAATGGCTGACGAGAAGTTTGAAAAATGGTGTCCAGGCAGCATCACAGTCGAGGAGTTTGCCAAGGTCATGTCCCAGAGCCCTGGTCAACCCCCGTCCGAGGAGGAAGTCAAGAAGATCATTCAAGAGGTAGATCTCGACGGCGACGGCACCATCAACTTTAATGAGTTCATTACAATGATGACCGGCCAGCCTTACCCACCTGCAGACGCCGCGGCCACAACAACTGCTGCGCCGACCGTGGAGGTCGATGATGCCGACGCAGAGGACGACATTGTGAGCGGGTACCAATGAGAAGCATCGCGCGCAACGTATATTCAGCATTGCAACAGTATTTGCACCACTAGTACTTGGCCATTGAGCCGGAAACTGGTGCCGATCAAGTTGGGCTAGCATAAATAAAATAAATAACCAGTACTTGACAAACAGATCATGTCTTGGATGCAATTGTCGAATCACTCAAGAAGTCTGACCAAGTGTTATACTATAAGATACGGATGTGATCAATCAATCTTGTTTATATAATGTAAAGAGCCGTATATATGGAGACTTGCTCCTTGATCTGCTGATGTGAAGCGAAAGGTATATCCAAATGTCCAAATTAAACCATGGAAGCCAAACTACCCCGGAAATGCCCATGCTAGAAACCCAAATAAGCCAACTCCCAAGAGGAATACAAGTATGGAAAGCACAATCTAGTGACTGATCTCGTCAATCTTCAACGCTATCTAACAAGCAAGTGCCAGATGAATTAAAAGCAGATGGAAACGCCATTATCATGGACCTCGCTTTCTAAGCGATCCTCTGAGGTGTACAATCGTTGGATGGATCGCCAATCTCTTCAGCCGGAGTTGGGACAGGGTTGGTATCGAGCGATATGACCGAATGGTCATCGTCATCATCGTCTTGTACTACCTCTTCGACTTTGAGGTCTGGTACTTCGGAACTTATTTCGCTCTTCTCTCCACTGGGTTGAATCTTTTGCTTCAGAATGGCTTCACCATCGACAATCTCACGTTCGTCCGTGACCTTGTCGTTGTCCATATTCTTCTCGCGAGCACCAGCAGCATTCATCTGAGCGTTATCAAGATCTTGAGCGCCCTTCTCACCCATGCCGCCCTCAGCGAGCTCACCGCCTTCAATTACGACGCGCAGGTCCAAGTCCTCGTCCTTGGAGTAGACACGGAAGTTGACGATGCAGATGGCGTTCCATGGGTCGGGGAGCCCAGCCTCCTCGTCTGTCTCGACGTTCTTATCATTGTTGGCAGGAGGGGGAGGGGGAGGCGCCATGCGAGGCTTGCGCGACATATCATCACTGCTATATAGCTCCTCCCAGTCTTCGACAGGGCTATCAGACGAGTCGCCGTCAGAAGAGTAGTCTGTGCGACGAGCAGGAGCCGGGGACGGAGCAGGCGTCGACTCTTCCTTATCGGCCTCGGCGTCTTTCTGCGACTCGTCCTTCTTGTCTGAAGACTCATCTTTCTTGTCAGTCTCGGACTTGGCAGCTGTGTCGTTGTTATCGTCGCTCGACTCCTTGGGCTTGTCAGCCTCAGCCTTCTTGCGCTCTGCCTCCTCAGCCGCCTCCTTCTTCTTGCGCTCGGCGGCCTCGGCTTCTTCTTTGATCTTGCGCTCAGCGGCTTCAGATTCCTCCTTCTTCTTACGCTCGGCGTCACGGATCTCGCGGTTGCGATCCCGCTTCGCCTGATTCTTCTTTTGCTGCTTCTTGGTGATCTCGCGGTTCATGTGGCGCTTCTCCCAGAGCTTGCGGCGCTCGGCTTGACGAGATGTGCTCGCCTTTTGAGATTCGGACTTCTTGCGCAGCTGGGCAACCTGCTCGAGGTGCGCAACGCCCTTGGAATGGGCAAGGTCATAAGCATAGCCGACTGATGCAAGTTTGTCGTGGTCTTGACGCTTCTTGCATTCACGTTTCACGACGTCCTCGATAGTAGAAAAGTCCGTGTCTCTCTCGCCGACAACGCTCACAAACACGGAGTACTTGCCCGGCTCCATGCATGGTAGCTCGATGGAGACCGACCGATCCATGAGGTAGTTTCCATGAGAGCGGACAATGTAGTCTTCTGCTTCTGGCCTGCCCTGTTCGTGAATACGGAACTGCAGTCGGAAGCTGTACTGTCCATGAAGACCCTTGTAGTAACGGTTGTCGAGCTGAGATAGTACAAGCACTAGAGGTGACTCCTTGGTCAACGTGAAGTGGAACTTCTCGTTGTACTGCGGCTTCCACGGTACCTCAACTCCGATCCAGCGCTGGCAGCATCTCCAATCGGGGTCTCTGAAGAGGCGTGTTCGATCAAAGTGCTGGAACTTGCGTAGCAGATCCTCGAAACGAATCCAGAACACAGAGTCGTTTCCAAAAGTATGGCCAAGCTCCTCCTTGGCAGCACTAGTCCATTCCTTGGAACCATCGCTCCAAGGACCATCCCAGATACCCTTCTTGAGCTTGCCCCAGGGATTGCGAAGCTTGACGAGGCGCTCACCATTCTTCATGGTCCTCGCATCCATGACAACGTAAGCATGTCCCTCGCGAATGCCGCTTCGCTCACCATAACCGCCATCGAGGAGGCCGGTGGAGCAACCAAACATGAATTCCTGGTTGACCTTGCTCATTTCGTTCTCCCAGAAGCTATCGAGATCAAGGATATCGCTGCCAAGGAGCTCGGTGGTAACTCCGCCGCTGAGATCCTCGAGACCCTCACCAATCCAGCCGCCGATCAAGGAAGAATAATCTCCATGAACCTTGGCAAAAGCCTTCTCGATCAAGGGAACCCAGGTTGCATTCGGGTCCCTGTTGGAACCGAAGAAAACGGCCTTGGATCCAGTTTGATATGTCTTGCGGTACGTTTGCTCGGCATCCTCACTTTCGCGGTCAATCTGCGTCAAAAGATCACGCTGCATTGAAGGTGAGTCCCAGTTGGGGGAAGTGAGGTAGAGCTTGTCATCAATGATGGAATAAACCCATTCGCCATCACGGAAAAAGACAAACCCGTAGATACCGATACGAGTGTCGTATTCGACGCACATCCGCTTGATGCCGTCCTCAACGTTGGCAAGTGCACTCAGACTGGCAATGAGCCAGCAGTTGCCAATACTACCCTGCTTGACATCGCTGGCATCCAAGTTCTCCAAAAAGGTGGGGTTCTTGTAGATTTCATGGACGCGTTTGACGGACTTGGGGATAGCAGTGCTAGTACTGAGACGTGGCCCTGCCACATCAAACTTGTTGGAGCCCAAGTAATTGAGGCAGTTGCCTTTGGTCATCTTCAGGTCAAAGTCCTATTCAAAGTTAGTCTTGATGAATTTCTAAACGTCTGGTGTCTTGGTAGTTAATACTCACAATGTCCCAACCAGGGTCACGGTATCGCGTGTTGACCCTCTTACATTCTTGAATGATCTTCTTCACTTTGCGTCGACATTCGTCAACGGCACGATCGTAGCCGGCGCTGAGAAGCTCATTGGGACGGTCCTGGTCCGATGGCAGGGGAACCGGATCAAACGGCAAAATGGAGAGCGCCTTGGTGAAGTTCTTGGCGGTAAAGTGTCGCCAGATCTTGTTGATACTTCGCTGAGGGCTAGGCTTTCTCTTCTTTTTCTTCTTCTGATTTTGGTTGTTGTTGTTTTTCTTACTCGACTTTCCGCGTCTATCTTCATCTGACTCAGAGTCGGAGCTGTAGCCGAATGCTTCCAGATCTCTACGAGAGCGAGACGACCTTCTCGTGGATCTCCGGGAGTAATCGTCCTCCTCGGAGTCTGATGGTTGTGCGTATTTCCTGGACTTGGCAGTTCTCTGTGATCTTCGAGGAAGTTCCTCTTCAGAATCTGATGAGCTATAGCCAGGGGCTTCTTTGCGGTATCGGAGCCGAGCCATGATTTCGGTTTCAGAGGGCAACGATTTTATACGGGGTAACACGGGTCTATGGTCTATCGAATTCAACGGTGACTAAGGAGGTATTAAGTATCAGCATTGGCTCAGTTACGTATCAGTGCAGCGCAGGTAATTGTAAACACACCTTGCCAGAGGCTTGTTTTTTGCGGCGTCAAGAGAGTGTGGGATGCTCAAGAGAATGATGGTCCCAAATTACAATCTTGCCAGCAGATCTATAAGCTAAAGGATAGGCTCGGGATCCTTGAGGGATTCCCTGATGGTCGTTTCCTCAATGAGAGTGAGAGGGTATGGAGGGGAGGAGATAAGGATGGAAAGAAAGTCAGGAGAAACAAGAGAGTTCACCGACATCTTGACGGGAGGCATGAGGGCCATTATAAGGCCTGGCGGGCGACTGATAGGAGCACAAGCACGAGCGAGGCACGAGAGGCACAAGACAGTTCACACCATTACACGGACCCGCGCCTTCTGGGGATACCGTCCGCACTAGGATGAAGATCCACATGAATAAGAACCGGAACCCCTGATGGAGGACGACCCTTGGTGTGGCCGATTCGAGGAAGAGGATGCCATTGGAGCAGCGAATGTAGAACAGTACAGTCCGGCGTACTGTGGTAACTGATGCTGATAGTTCCGGAGTTGCCTCATATCGAAGGGACGTTTCTGGAGTCGTACAGTCACCCGAACTCGGACCCACCCTACAGGCACTGTAGTGTAGCGCTCGAGCCAGATAGCGCAACTCTGTGCTGTGGTCGCTTGATTCGGTTGGCTGCTTGGCGACTTGTTGGGGGTTGATAAGCGGTAGCTGGGATGCCTAGTGGGGGTCCTTCGGGGTCAGATATGCATGCATGCAGGGCTAGCTTTAGTGGAGTCTGACTTTTCTCTTCCATTTCCAGAATTCAGGGTCCAAGCCTTGCTTGCACAAAGGGTCCAGCAGCGCCCTCGCCACTACCACTCACCGGGACATGCCCCCTAACCACCAACCAGAACGGAAGCAATCAGATGCGTCTCGCGTACCTCGCTGAGCCTCACACAGTTTGCTGAAGAGATAGTCCTGGGTCTGTTTCACCGACCTGCGGCAACACAACAAGCGGGCCGGCGATCTGCTCGAAACTGATGGTGCAACGAGGCAACGAGCTTGACGACGGTTGAGGATCACCTCTTCAGGATTTTGTCCTTGTGTGCATTGCCCGGTGCGCATTACAGCGGTCAAGATGGCCCCCAGTTGTATTGTTGGGCCCAGGAACGAGAAATGCAGCGGAACCAGACTGTATACTAAAGGCAATCGTAAGCAATTGCTGACATGCGTGACCAATAGTATACAATGCTTTGGCTGCCAATCTGTTACCCTGGACGCCATGGGCCGGGGGTCTCGGCCTTGTCAGTCGTGGCCCCAAGAGGCATCAGCCAGGTGGTGGTACGAAGCGAAATGCTGCAGAACTCAGGGCTTCCTCCCATCCTTCTATTTTCAACGAACCGAATGGCGTTCATGGTTGCGCTGTCTCGATATTTTATCACATCGATGCGAGACACGGGGCTTCGACGGTAGTATATACATGGAGAGAATGGAGGGTCGTGGCAAGCGTGGCATTTTGTAATTTGAGCAGGTAGTTCACAGCACCAGCGTTGTGATCATGCACTGTAACTACACTGGCTCGACTATGCCACTGAAGCGCATACGCCTTTGCGACATATCACACAATACATGGCGCGTACCTGTCGCACTTTCGTCGGGCACATGCTGCAGCAGGATGCGTGGGCCGTCAGGACAGTAAGCGGGCAATTACGAGTATCGTATTGACATTGGCAGAAGAACGATGCATGTAATCCATACAGGCAGTCATGGTCCGGGGAAGGGGAAGGGGGATTGCGCCAAGTGCGGCGCACGAATCGAGTCCACTACCCACTGGGTGAGTGGAGTTCAAGCTATCAGTCTGCGACCGCCTCGTTTGCTAGAACGTGGATTGCAGTAGTTTGTTCGATAGAATACCTCAACTGCGCCGCCGCCGTCAGTTCCGAGAGAATGGTCACTTGCCTGTGTACTAGATGTGTTTTTCCGTCAGTAATCCCGATCAAGCCAACACAAATATTGTGACACCACGATACAGCAGCAGCAGCAGCGACTGCCCGCCTTGAACAATGTGAGTGTTTGCCTGATGTGAATGGAGGCATGTATACCCGCCGTTGGCCTGCAGCTCGTCTGCCAACTCGGGTAGGTGAAGGCTGGTCTAATAAATGTTGATCTGCAATGAGAAGAGAAGTCACCTACGGGGCAAGAAAGCAAGGCTGCAGCAATATACAGTATCGCACCGTACCGGACACTACCCAACTACCTCTTCGGTGTGCGCGCGTGATCGACTCGTGCTGGTGGCAGCGTGGCGGCCGCAGCTGATTCATGGCTCAATACCTTGCGACGGCGCTGCCTCAGGGTTTCCCCATATTATGTGGCCACTGAAACGTGGCAAGGGTGTGAGCACTGTGGGACGCTTCTTCCGGCTTGCCGTCGCACTAGAACAATTGGATCAATTCACTGTGGATTTGGACCCCTAGTTGATCCCTGCCCTTCTAGCTAGAGCTTTTCGAACAACTTTGGGGGAATGGATTGGATGTGCCACCCGGAACTATCGACATCATTTTCGGTTGAGAAGAAAAACTCTAGGGAAGGAAAAAAAAATTAGTCTTGGGGGAGAAGAAAAACCTTAGTGACTAGATGACCGGTGGCGCGAGTCTATTTTGAAATGGCAAATGTATCCAGCTCGAGATTAGAAGACAATTGACTAGCCCATTGTGGAAAATTGACTTTAACTAAAGTAATAGGTACAACTCTCGTTTTGACGGATAAAAGCATCAGACCCCGGGACCTCCGGCTTAACGGCTATTTCCGGTGGGCTATAAGAGGCAATTAAATCTTATGCATTTTATTTAATTAAACCTATATAGCCAGATCCGTTTATTTATATTAAATATACTAAATCCCTATTAATTTCCTATATAATAGCATTATAATTAATATAAAAAATATTACGAATAGCTTTTTTTATTATAATATAATATTTAGCACTAAAAATTATTTAAAACCCTATATTGCTAGCTAAGGCACTTTAATTAAAGGTAATTAAAGCGTTATAATAACTGCTTAAGCGATCGCTAATAAAATTAGCTAAAGCGCTATAAAATATATAATTATAACGGGTGCTACGGAAGCTATAGCTAAAAATATAAAATAAATAGCCGCTAATATAGCTAATTATAATATATTAAAATAAGCTTTAATTATATTAATTCTTTATTTAAAAAATTTTAAATTTAAAATCGATAAATTAAAATTTTTAGCAAAAACCTTTAATTATTACGCTTATATAATATTATTTAAGCTTAATAAATAAGCCGCTAAATAAATCGCAAAAACCCTTATTTACCCTTTAAATAAAAAGCTTATTATTATTATAATTTTAGTTATAATTAACGATAAAACGCTATTAATAACTATAAAACATTATTTAATAAGCATAAAAATAAAAGATATTTTTTGCCGTTAATTTAATTTTATTATTATCGAAAAAAGATAAAAACTATTGCACGGATGTTAATACAGCATCGTATAATGCATAAAATTAGCTTTATAACGCATATTATATCGTTATAACAGCTATAAAACCTATCGAAATATCGTTAAATAACGATATATAGGAAATCAGTAAAACTTACCCTATACTAACTTATAATTAATATAATACCACTTATAGCCATTATTCACAATGCTATATAGTTAATAAATTATTATAATTAATTATTATAGCTATTATAGCCACTGGAACCTACTGGAATCTAATGGAACGTTCTACTAGATTAAGCCCCACTAAATATAGCTAATACACCTGGCTATAATAATCCTAAAGTTATAGGGTAACCTATATTATAGAAATCCATAGATTTCGATAGTTTCTTCGATTATAAATTAACCTTATTACTAATTAACTTAATTATAAATCTAATTTATTAATAATATATTTTAAAATATTTTTATTAGTTAATTTTATAAATATAAAAGGTAGTTATTCCTCCGTAATTAGTTATTTTTTCCTTAAGCTTTAATAAATTAATTATATAGCCTTATAACTACTTTTACGGCCTAATTCTACGAATCATATAAACGCTTCCTTATACCTAAATTTATAATCTATTAATTATACCTTAGAATAGGTTATAAGCCCGGTCCGGTATAATATCGATTATATTTAAATACCGGATTTAAATTATATCGAAAACTATAGCCGCTTTCCCGGACGAATTAATACAACGTAAACTCCGGAATTCCGTTATAATAGCCGATTTTATAAGCTTTATTTTAAGCTTATATAGCCGTAACTATATCGAAAACTATAGTTAAATGGCTAATTATAATAATTTTACCCGTTATAGCCATATAACGGCTATAAAATCACTTATAACTAATCCCCACTATAATAGCCGATTTGCTATAGCACCCTATAGCACCTGCTATATTATATTATAGCACCTGGATCCCCTTTATACACTTTATCGATAAAATAAAAGAATTAATTTCTTTTATTTTCATTTTCTTAACGATTCCTTTACCGTTTTTAACGATAATTATACCGTTATAACGGCAAAAACTCGGCAAAATAGATAACTCTATCCGTACTATTGCCGGATACCAAATGCCGGAGAAACAGAAACTCTCCGGATCCGGAAACTAGAATACGTAAAAATCCACGTTATAATTATATCTTAAACTGCTAGGAATCGATCGGTTTTTTAAAATTACCGATATATATAACGGTATAACCGATATTTAGAAAGCCTAAGCATTGCTTTTAATTCGTTAGAATTTAATAACAAAACCGTTAAATTTAATATTCGATAAAATAAATCTATATAAAGCCTTATCGATTTTATAATCAGCCTATTAAAGCACCGGACCCGTATTACGTCAGCAACTATATCTCGAATTTTATATTATA